ATATATATATATATATATTTATATATATATATATATATATATATATATATATATATATATATTTATATTTATATATATATCTATATTTATATATATATATATATATATATATATTTATATTTATATATCTCTATATATATATAATTTCTGAAATACAATCACGACACACGAACGTTTGTGGTCTTTTTAAATGACGTGTGAATCAATGACACGCAATGTAAGTCATATATGCGTGTCATAAATTTATGACACACAAATGTATGTCAAGCAGATTTATGACGGGGGCTTCAATGACGAGCAATGTAAGTCATACATGCGTGTCATAAATTTATGACGCATAAATGTGTGTCATCTTAATTTATGACGGAGCTTCAATGACGCGCAATGTAAGTCATACATGCGTGTCATAAATTTATGACGCACAAATGTGTGTCATCTTAATTTATGACGGAGGCTTCAATGACACTCAAAGAACGTCATTAATGCGTGTCATAAATGCGTGTCATAAATGCGAGTCATAGATTTATTACATACAATTGCGCGTCATCAAAAATTCATGTCGGTGGCTTCAACGACAGGCATTTGTGTGTCATCTGCACCCATAGATGACGCGCAATGCGCTCATTAAAGGGTATTTTTCTTGTAGTGACATAACAATAAATATAATATCAACAATTAAAATAACATAAATTTCAATATTAGAAAATACAATTACATAATTATAGTATATAAATTGTTAAATCAATGTAACAAGTGAAGTGATGTTTACTCATGTATGAGGGAAGCCCTAGGTTCTCCAGTGGTTTTGCTGGAATAAGAAGAGAAGTGAAGCCTTGGGTTCTTCAATGGAGCATGCCACCAGAGAGGATGCCTTTTAAGAAACGATAATTTTCTCGAGAAGTGATGTCACTCGTGTTGAATAAAATTTACCAATTTCAAAGGACAATATCCTTATAAAAGGCATAAACTCTTGTATTATATTGTAGAATGACACCAGTAGAGGGTGCATTATATAGGCAATGAGATCACGGTTTATAAAATGTGTCAACAATAAAATACTAATAATTTTAGCATAATTAATATAATAATACCAGAAATCAAGTCTCTGACATGGCAATGACCTCGCGTTGTAGAAAAAATGCAGTCATTGAGTAAAACAAAGAGAAACAATGTTCTTTCAGACCATACTTAAGCTTGTAGCATCAACTCATAGAAAAAATGCTCCACTATTTGAACGAACGACTAAAAAACAAGTACATACTTCACAAATACGATGACCAGCTAAGAAAGCACCAACAATGATGAAAGCCATTTACTGCAAACCACACTGTATTTTTTTACGGTTAAATAGCAAGTATACAAGATCCTCTCTACATAACTTTTGCCTCCCCACACGTACAGGGAGAAAGCTTGATTCATGAAAGAAAAAGGGAAATGGAAACATGAAGTGGAAAGCCAAATAATTTGTTAAGAACCTCCTGACTATTATCTTTAACTAGTCAGTCGATCAAATCTCGAACGGTACTAGAGAATGTCTAAGCAATCAATTACAATCATATGCAAGCAACGACACCTGCATTTCTGTCTACTAGCTATATACTTTCACAATTAATAAAGGGGTTTATGGAGTTTCTTTCGATCATTCACTAATATCGGTGAATCAGACAAACTGAAATCGAAACATAAACAAAGGCCCTGGTTTCCAACCAAACTGATCAGTTCAGAAAATAAAACTGAACAACCAAGTACAAACTTTACCCCATTTCCGAAGTTAGCACTTCAAAATCATTCAGCAGTAAGCAACAAAGTTCTCAACATTTTCCTTTTCCACAATGTACGGTTAGACAAAAATTCCAGAGAGAAAGCACCAAAATGGCAATACTCAAAACAACCTGATGAATAAAAAGTACCTGCAATAGTAACAGGAGAATCATCATCTTTAGCAAAAACCTGTCTAGAAGCAGAAGCAGAAACCAAGCTTTGTTGCACTTTTTGACATAAAGAACAAGCTATGTGCACAATTCTAACAGCCAAATCCAACTCTTTGCCGTACTTGTCATTCTCATCGGTCATATATCGGTCATAAAGAACAAGCTATGTGCTTTCATATGGTATTCATCTTTTTCCTTTTTGTTTCTCTGTTTATTTTTTTTCCATGATGAAACATGTGTTTTCTTTGCTGTTTTATGGATGCTTTGAGTCTCTTCTTTAGATCGATCGGAGAGGGAAAACCTTAGACGGTGAGATTGAGGTCGACGATGGTCAGATGAGGTCGACGATGGTCAGACGAGGTCGACGATGGTCAGACGAGGTCCACGTAGATTTATGGATAGTTGGGGGGGGGGGGGGAATTAATGAATCCCATTAATGTCTCTGATTTTTCAGGATCATGTTGAATTCAACTCGACAACAGCGATGCGAAGCCGAACGGACGCCTGAGAGCTCTGACAGCGGTTGAAGCTTTAATTAGGTTATGAGAAAACCCTAAAATCTTCACATATTGATTGTTGGATGACATCTAATCTAACGGATGAGAGATTATGTGACAACTGTCGTTTTGATGTCAAAATAAATTTATTTTTCTTAATTAATAAATAAGGAAATACGTAGTAAAGATAAAAAATGGTCGATTTCACAAGGACTTAGAAAATTCTAAATTTTTGTCTGAATTATTTAAATCAGGCATGATTCAGTAAATGGGGGGTTTGGTAAAAATATATTTAAATAATGATAAAAGTGATTTAAAGTAAAAATAAAGAAAAGGTTTTAAAGTTGAAATTGAATATGGTAAAAACAATCTTAAGCTTTGCTTTAACTCAATTTCCTTTAGATCATCGAATTAGATTTTCCCTTCGGGATTCACGTCAGTTACTTTGTCTACAAAGGCAATCCCTGTGACTCTGTTTTGTATACCGAATACCCAATGCAATCTTTGATTCCGGCTTCGGAAATTGATCTAATCAACATCAATTGTCGTAGATTAATTACCGTTTAAGTTCATGGCGACCAACTCAGATTGTTGCTTCTATAACTGTCAATTCCGATCTCAATTCCCTCTTGGCAAAGCTATCTCGCCAAGTGTGTTCCCAGGAAGTCGAATGTGCTTTCGATAAGTCGAATCTTCCTCCCACACGTTTAATCGCAACAATAATATAGACCAAAGTCTATATTTGATTTTGAAAACTGTTTTGATTTTGAAAAATAAACGAAGAAATTGAGAGAGATATTCCGAAGATATTAAGGGCCTATTTCAATTCTCTCGTTGGAATTGAGTCATCGTTTCAACTCTCGATTTATGAAAAATTTAGCTAAGCATGACAAAAGTCATACTTAGCATATTTAAAAACAAAGCTCGAAAATAAAGGAAAAATGAAAAACTTGAAAAGTAAAATAAAAGAGAAAACTTTAATAAAACTAAAAAGAATAAGAAGATTGTAATCTGAGATGTGTTTTTTAGGCTTACCCCCAAGAGGGTATTTATAGGCTCTCAAAGTTTAAGGATAAATAAAGAAATTAAATTAAAATAATCATAAAGCTAATTGTTTTTTTTTTCTAAATTCAAACTTTAAACAAGTCTCCTAATGCAACTCTGCTCGTCCATCTTCCAGAATGCACGCTGAGTAGATCTTCTAGAAACGGCCGCTGATTGGACCTTCTAGAAACTGTCATGTCATACCGTATCGTGCCCAGAGTCGTGCCCATGTCTCCAGTCGTGACCAAATAATAAATAAAATGCAAAATACGCCCGTTTTACCACTAGTTCTGGAAAGTAAGGACCTGCACGAAAATAAACATAACACAACCAAATCAGTAGCAATAAATCCACAAGATCGAAGAAATAACAAACAAATATTAACGATTTTGAACACTATCATTATGTGGTTAGGAGAATAGGATGAAACCCTAGTTGCATTGGTCTTAATGCATGAGCTTGCAGTTGGGCTCTAGATTTGTAATTATATTTGGACCTGTAAATAATCAAATATTAGTATTTTTGTTTTGTTGTCTTATTATTAATAATAATATATTAATATTTTAATAATTAAAAAATTAATTGACTAAAAACCTAAAGTGAACAATTAATAATTAATCCTACTTACTAATCAAAATTAAAACATATACTTACTAACATAATATTTTATTAAAAACTAAAGGTAAAACATTTAATCTAATCTAATATCAAAATAGATAAAAACATTCTAATTAAATCTCGGATGAAAACGGGTGTCTACGCAAGGCTTAGGGTATAGTTGGGTTTGAGGTTGATTTTGTTTGGGTCGATTTTGTATATTGGATTTTAGAGTTTTTCAATGGCTTTGTAAATTTAAACGGGCATGGGTATGTAATATGAACCTTTAATATTCGGACACTTGAATATTTTATTTTGGTTATTTTTGGGCTCGAAATAATTGCCCGAGTTGAAATTGGCTATTACACCATAGCTGAAACATCGACAAAATTGAGCCAACAATCCACCCGAATTATTTATTAGGCCAAATCTAAATTTATTTTGGAATCTACAATAAATGTTATAGCTTTAGCAAACTCGTCATGCTCACATGAAGAGTTCTTTAAAAAATAATTTTCAAATTGATCTAAGTTTGTAGAATCGTGAGACCTAATTCAATATATTTTTTGGAACTCGTCATGGTTACATGGAGAATTCCTTTAAAATATATATTAATGATATGTTTTAAAAAAAATTATGATACTCGTCATGCTCACATGACGAGTTTCATTTAGATTTAAAAAAACTAACCGTTAAATGAACGTAGGCAATGAGTAGATTCCAACAATTATAAACAGCTAGCCATTAAATGGACAGCATGATGAGTCTCCTATTAAAAGTTTTAACTTAAAATTTTTGGATTCAATCCTAGATGCAAGCCATATAGAGTTTCTTGAAATTGACAAAACTATACAAGGACTACACATTAATGTTACATCATTGTTTGCATTTGAACAAGTTGGGCACTAAACACGATCATAAAAATGAAGCACAATAATGTGTATATATATTTGTTTATTCATAATTTGGAGCGGCCAACAGTCGTATCACAGACTTTGACAATAAAACGGGTTCTGGGAATGGACAAGTTATTCTCTAAAATGCTGCCCAGCGCGGCTATCAACTTTCTCTTCACGTCCCTGTTAATGCCGCCCATCGACAACACCTCCGCATACGCCGCCGGATCCTTGTTCCCGTTGAATGAAATCGCCACTGATCCCTTCAAAATCATCATCACCAACTGCATGCATGAAAACAAAATGATCAAGCTCAATGTATATATAGAGAAAATTCCGTCATTAAGTAGGGAAGATGTTCGGTTTGGTTTAGTTTCTTTCAGATTAAAATTTTTATTTATTAAAAAAATCACATGCAGTCAGTAGGGACGCTGGTGAACTTAGGGAGCAAACTAAAATTCCAAGGGAGATGAAACATATTTTTAATAGAAAATATATAATTTTTTTTAAATATATAGTAATTTTAAATTTTTAAGGGACGAGTCCCCATCCGCCACCCGCTCAATCCATCCCTACATGCATCCAGAACATATAAAACGATTTTCAAAAAAAATCTAAATTAGGTCCACAACTAAGACAAAATCCCAAAAATTCTCTTATTAGAGCCGTTAAAATCTCTGAGCTTACAACATAAATATTACCCAAAGTACGTAATAAGATAAAAATAGTGCAACCAAATCTAATATAAACTAAGCAATACTAAAAAGATAAAATGTTCATATAAACTTGGCATACATCCGAACTATCACAAAAATACAATCGAGACTCATCTCATGATTTGTCAAAACTACTATAACACAGATATATTGATCTGATGCCTTTTTTATACCATCTATGGTAGGCATTTAAATTGTACTTGGTTATTAGAAATGTCTTCTTAAAGATTTTTATTTCTCAATTGTAACGACCATAATAACATCCGTTTTTATTTAAATCTATGATATGGAGATCATCTAAAGGCAGAACACAGAAGCAATTATCCACACATAACCGGAAAACAAAATAAAGATTGATAAAATGAATATGCAAAGAGAGAGAGTTACGTGTTCCGGCCTTCCGATGATGGAGGCGAGGGCTTTGGTGGCTTGGGAGAAGACGGGATCGGTGTCGACCTCGTCTAAGTTGAGATTAGTTGAGATGTAAACGCAAGGCATTTCTCTATTTCAAGTAGAGGCATTCTTCTCCTTTGGGTTTATATAGCAAATTAATTGCTTTGATATGGTGGAAACGGTAAATGTGGTCGCAATCATGGACCAATAACATATTCAGGCCGCGCACTCTGACTTCAATTTTTTAATTTTTATTCTTCATTTTCTTGGGTAAAGTACACAATTGGTCCCCTAATTATAGAATGTTGTTTTATTGAGTTCTTCAACTATTAAAAGATATAAAATGATCCTCCAATTATAGGGCGTTGTTTTGTTGAGTCCCCTGACTATCAAAAGTTACAAATAGTCATGCAACAATCATATGTTCTGATATCGTCCTTATTGTTAAATAATTGGTGATTGTCTGAGTTTGATGTTAACATGTTGACTAGAATATGATAAAATTTAATCCTAAAATCATTTGAGATATATTTTATGGATCGACTCTCAATTTATATTATGTCAACAAACCATGCTTGAAAGCAATGGCGGTGCTAGTAGACATCATTAAAGTATAATTTTATCATATCTCAGTCGCATATATTAACGTCCAACTCATATAATCGTCAATTTTTTAGCAGAAAATAACGAGTTCAAAACATATGAATCGTCGGGTGACCATTTTGTAACTTTTAATAGTCGGGAGACTCAACAAAATATTGTCGTAAAATCGGAGGAATATTTTGTAACTTCTAATAGAAAGGAATCTCAACAAAGCAGCGCCCTATAGTCTGGGACTATTTGTGTACTTTACCCATTTTTCTTTTACACAAAAATGGACCCGGTCCGGAACTTCCACTTTTGACTTGGATTTTTATGTTAGAAAAGAATATGTATTGGATGAATTATATTAAATTTCAAATCATTTAATAAAAGAGGTGTAAATTTACAATATCAGAGATAAAATACTATTGTTGACTTCATATTAGAATTGGAAAGTTATATCTATGGTTATTGGAATCAAATTAAATAGGTTGGTTGGATTTGGAATCAATCAGAAGATTTGTTTAATAGATACAAATGAACCATAAATTAGGCGTGAATTATTTGTCCAAAGACTTGAACCCAATCAAGCATTTTAAAGAAAATAATATTTAACTAATAAGATAACATTGCATTTATGGAAAATAAATAATATTAAACATTTGCATTAGGGTTGAACCCATGGCTAAAAAATAATCTTAATCACCTAGACAATATAACTATTTTGATAAAAAAAATGCTTTTTTTAGAATGAATCTGACATGGCGTGCTTTTTTGTTTATGTGATAAATATTGATGTCATTTTCATAAATAGTTATGAAAGTATATTATTTTCGACAATAAATTGTAAACGGTGAAACTTAGGTAAACCAGTCTGATTAATCATGGATCACACCCCCACATGTCGCACGATCATCCGCAGCACCTCTAGCACCATCGGTATTCAATTTGACCCACCCCAACTGTGGAGGAATCTAGGAAATAATAGTGCCCCTCAACATAGAACCCGCTTGAATAACATTCCTTCCTACATTAACGGCACGTTGCATAATTCGCATCAGATTCCGACTCTGAACCAATGTCGACCGATTAGTAGCTATTGGATTATCAAAAGCTATGACATTTCTGGAGAGCCAAAGATTCCAAATAACTGCTCCAAAGAGGTTGTCCTAGTCTTTTGGATCAACTGCAAAATAATTCAAGTTCGTAATATTCACTCCAATCTAACTTCGAATATCCATTGTAAGAAATTCCTCAAGCTTATCCATTTTAATAAGCAGTGTCCTAATGGAAAGAGCAATGGGGCATGAACAAAGCAAATGACTGATGTCCTCCACGTCTGCTCCACAACTTACGCAGTGACTATCCGTAGTGAGATGACGTCGGGTTCTCTCTTTGTTGGTCATTAGTTTACCACAGCGACTGACCAAATGAAGATTTTAATATGCTGTAAACCTCCGAATCGGTGGACTTGGCTCTAAGCTTGATCCACGATGATCTCGGGTGTACCACTTCTGATTTCATAAGCCGACTTTAGAGTGAACTTCCGATCCTCATGAACCAATCACCCCACAGTATCCTTCATGAACAAAGGTTTGGGTCCTTTAATAGCAGCAACTCTAAGAAGGATCGACCAAGGCAACAAGTTTTAAAAAGATGCCCATCACCAATTTCCATCTTGATCCACCATATCAGCCACACAACATCTGGCAGTGTTAGGGGCAGCACATGCTTAGTAAGAGGGCTAATATTTGGAAGCCAATCGGCACGCCAAAAATCCACATCCTTCCCATTACCAATACTCCACCCCATGTAATTGCGAACGTCACTCCAAACAATGCCAAGCCCTTTCTAAAGTTTAACATCTCAAAATAAACATTCAACTTAAACCAAATTGTTTCCCCCCTTCTCTTACAATAAAACAAAAGGAAAACATGAAACCTAAGCAATCGACCGCTACTTCTAACAACTGAGCTGCTCCACGTCCATTGCTACAGTCCCCGACGGTGGAATTAGGCTACCATGGTTGCTTGGTTGAAGAAATAAAATGGACAAGTGAGTGGAAGGAGAGAGACCATGAACAGTGTGACATTCTCCTCCCTTTACTGTCTGAATAAGTTAAAACACCAACCAATAAGGTATTTTCTTATTTCCCTGAATTTTTAATGAAATACAGTTGGTAAAACAATTGTCCTAGTTCTAAAAAATTCCATAATTGCTGCAGAATATGCTTACTAATCCAATCCAACATCGACTCATAGAAACGTTTGCAACATCCAACAATGCCACGTCACCATCATATCAAATAACATCAAAATATCATAAATAGCCCAAAAGTTATAAACTCAAGGTGCAAATGATGTGAAATATGATAAAATGAACCTAAAATGATCCTAATAATGCTAAAGTCCAAGCTCAAACCTAAGTGAAAATGTCATAAATAATAACTCTTTTGGAGAGTTATCACAACCCAAACCTAAGTGTTTGTTTTTCCTCAAGCAAGTACATGCATGAAACGCAACTAATTTAAACAATAATGTTGTAGAATAACTCTACCAAACCAAGTCATATTCTACTTTCCCTTTTTAGCTCTTAGAATTTTAGCACTTAATGATTTCAAATTAAGGAATGTGATGCCAACTCATTAAAATTAGAATCCACATAGTAGAATAGTGAACAAGCAAGGTGTATCCAATTAATATTTAGCTAAATTAGAAAAAAATTGATCTTACTCAATTATTTGATTTCAATGTGTAGACACCCATTTTCTTAAAAGATAAAACTAGCAAGAGTTCATCTCCTAAGAGGACTCTTCTACCACCATATCTTTTAAAGCAACAACCACATCAACAAACGTGCAACAACCGAGCAAGGAGTCTAGTTGAATTAGGATTCTATTGTTAATAGGATTCTAAAAATAGTTAGTTTTTTTCACTATAAATACATGTTATCCTCCCCATTTGTAACACGCGGATTTACATACAAGATACAGAGGAAAGCACGAAAAAATACAAAGGCAAAGCTATTGTAAACGATTCGATAAGGAAATAAAAGGTAGCATTTTTTTACATTGAATCGTTCATTTCTCGTATGTGCATATTATTTTTCTTGAGATTTGGTTCGAATAACCTAAAGTGTGGGTTGCGCCGATGACCAAAAAGGGGTGGGGTCTCGAAGTTTCAAACCTAGATTTACTCATGAGGCATGTTCATTTTTTTAAAAGTATTTAATATTCCCCCTAAGTCAATGTTAATCTTTAATTTACCCTTTAATTTTACTTTTATATTAATTTTGTCTCCTATATATATATTTTTAATTATATTTTTTATTTATTTACTATATTCCTCTTTTTTTTTATTTATATTTTTATTATATATATCTTATATTATATATATATATATATATATATATATATATATATATATGTATAGATGTATTAATTTTTATCCATTTGCTATGTATATATATTTTTCTTAATATTATATTTTATATGTTTTTATATATATTTTTAATATTCTATTTTTTTTATATATATATATATATATATATTATATTTTTACTTTATTTTTTTCTTTTTTTTCTTAATATCATGTATATCTTTATTTTTTACTTGTTTTACTTAGTATTATATATTTATTTATTTTTTATTTTTTTAGTAAATACTACTTTATAGTACACATTATTTTTATTCATTTTTAATTTCTTTTACCTTTTTTTACTCCATTATTTTTTTTTCCTTTATCTGTGTCTTTTTTTAACATTTTATTCATTTTGTTTATTTTTATTATTAGTTTTTTATTATATTTTACGTGTTTTGTTATTTTCCATTTTTTCTTGTTTTATTTATTATTCTCACGTTTGCACACTTGCTATCCTAATTCGATTTTATACTCCGCTACGAATCTAACATTTTTATCTTTTAAGGGTATTCAAATCAATCAATTGTAAGTAATTTAAATCGGGTCTATTAAATTTTAATTTAAATTTCGAATTTTCGCAACTAAGACAACCGACAAATTAATTGGTACCGAAAGGGCGGCTCAAGGGTGCTAATCATTCCTTGACCGTAACCGACTCCCGAACCCGACACATTTCTGGTAAAAACGCAGATCAGGTAAGATGGTGTCTGACCCACCTAAATTCGTTTTAAAATGGTCGGTGGCGACTCCAATCCATATTTTTCAAGTCGAAACCCAATTTCGGGGCCCAACCGAAAGACGGTTACAACAGCTTGGCGACTCCGCTAGGGATAGGTAAGTAAGTCAGGCCGAAATTAATTTTCGGTTGTCTTTTTTTTAGCAAAAATTACAAGTTTAAATTTTAATTTATTTATTCGATTCCAATTATTTATCTTTATTATTTTTTTCAAGTAAATAGTTGTACTGATATTTTTTCAATGATTTCATATTTTTGAAAAAGTTTCCATCTCTAGCTCTATACCCGAGCTCCGAACCCTTTTAAGTGGGGGTGAAAGCGATACCTTCGTGTGAATTTATTCATCGTGCGGGCCTAGCAAGTAGCCTTCAGGA